TTGAGCAAAAGAGCTCAGGAACAGCACCAGGGCCCTGAGTTCACACCTGGTTACTCACACACACACACACACACACACACACACACACGGAGGGAGAGAGGTTGAGGATCTTTCAGGTTCTAGGAGAGGTTCCTAAATGACCATAAGCCTAGCCTGCTTTGTAGGGTGCCAACCTTCCAGAAGGCTCTCTGACACCAAGTTCCCCAAGTCTGTGCCTGCCAGGCTTGAGTTGATGATGAAGGGTATTTGGGGGAGAGGCACATATGCCTTGGGGGAAGCCCACCTCTGAGTCTGGGGCTCCTCAGCACTGGAGTGAGGGGGAGCCGATGGTCAGTGGGCAGAGGCCAGGTACTTAGCCGGTGCTAAAGGTGGAAGGTGGGAGCTAAGTAGGCATGTTTATTTTAATTAATTTATTATTTCGTGTATGCAGTACCAAGGAATGGAACCCAGGGCCTCATGCTTGCTAGGCAAGCACACTACCACTGGGCCGGGTTCCCAGCCCAGGCCTGTTTACTGGTCCTGGGACTTGAACTCAGGGCCTGGGTGCTGTCCCTCAGCTCTTCAGCTCGAGGCGAGCGCTCTACCACTTGAGCCACAGCGCCACTTCCAGTTTTCTGCTGGCTGATTGGAGATCAGAGTCTCATGGACTTTCCTGCCTGAGCGGGCTTTGAACCGCGATCCTCAGATCTCAGCCTCCTGAGTGGCTGGGATGACATGCATGAGAACCGAGAGAGGTCCACGTTCTCCACCTTGGGTGGGCGGTGCTGCGTGTGACGTCACAATGCGTGATGCATAGGCCCAGCCTTCGTGGACATCATGGCTTTCCCAGGGGGCAGGAGCGGTGACAGCTCAGCCTGTGACGTCACAGTGCGTAATGGCTAGGTCCTACCCACGTACACGCGCCATGGGCCCCGCCCCGCAGACCTTCCGGGCCGGGCACCAGGCCCAGGGCTTGGCAGAGAAACTAGCTCAGCTTCGAAGGCAGCTCTGTGACGTCAGGGCCACGCCTCTCCATCAGGCCACGCCCCCAGGCCGGGAAGAAAGGCGCTGTGATGTTATGACCACGCCTCCCTGTTAGGCCACGCCCCCAGGGTGAGGATAAAAGGCAGTGACGTTATGACCACGCCTCCCGTCAGGCCACGCCCCCAGAGTGAGGCGGAAAGGGCGCTGATGTTACTTACGACCACGCCTCCCCTATTAGGCCACGCCCCAGGCCGGGAAGAAGGGCCATGTGATGTTACGACCACGCCTCCCCGTTAGTCCACGCCCCCAGGGCGAGGAGGAAAGGGCGTGTGATGTTACGACCACGCCTCCCCGTCAGGCCACGCCCCCAGGCAGGGAAGAAGGGCGCTGTGATGTTATGACCACGCCTCCCCGTCAGGCCACGCCCCCAGGGCGAGGAGGAAAGGGCGCTGTGATGTTACGACCACGCCTCCCCGTCAGGCCACGCCCCCAGGCCGGGAAGAAGGGCGCTGTGATGTTATGACCACGCCTTCCCGTCAGGCCACGCCCCCCGGGGCGAGGAGGAAAAGGCGCTGTGATGTTATGACCACGCCTCCCCGTCAGGCCACGCCCCCCGGGGCGAGGAGGAAGGGGCGCGCCCGGCAGCCGCGGGCCGCTCCACAGTGACGTCGCGGCCCCGCCCCACCGGGGAAGCGCGGCTCTGTGACGTCCGGCCCCGCACGCGGGACTCGCCCCGGGAGGCGCCGGGAACCGGACCGGGCGGCGATGGGGGACTGGAAGGGCTACATCAGCGCCGTGCTGCGGGACCCGCGCATCGACGACGTGGCCATCGTGGGCCACTCGGACAACCGCTGCGTGTGGGCCTCCCGCCCGGGGGGCCTGCTGGCCGCCATCTCCCCACAGGAGGTGGGCGTGCTCACGGGCCCCGACCGCGACACCTTCCTGCACGCCGGCCTGAGCCTGGCGGGCCGCCGCTGCTGCGTCATCCGCGACTTCCTGCTGGCCGATGGCGACGGCGTGCTGGACGCG